CATGTTTGTAGATGGACCAAGGACAGGATGCATGGGTGCAAGGATGAAGGGAGTAGTCACTATACCTTTTTGTATTGGGCGACAGCTGGCGTCACCTATCTATAACTCCTGGCGGAGTGTACCTTTTAGGATAAATCTAATGAAGCTTCTCGAACCGTCAGTACAAATTTGTACATCTTCCTAGAAACGAGGAGCGGAGGTACTTGTCTCACTGGTGTTAAAAATCACGAGCTGCGGAATTAACTATAGGTAATTGGCAATGTAGTATACGTTGAAGGGGGCATACGTGTTTCAGTTTTTATTAATAAGCGAGCACTTCATTGTGTACTGATCAGGTACAATGAGCACAAATATTTCACCTTGGTTTGACGTGGAAAATTATATACAAAAAAAAATTGTGATGCTGAGAATTACCTAACATCATAAATAGTTTGTAAAATACGCGGCACAGCTCACCAATATGACATTGAAGATGTTTTGCACCCAAAAACACCCTTGTCCTAGATGTTTCTACGGTGTTCACATATTTGTATTGTTCAATTTTAAAGGGAAATTAACCAGCTGAACACCTTTGCCGATCAAATTCAGAGATATTTTGTCACGTCATCGGGCTGCGCTCTATAAACATCAATTTCATATGCACCCAGCACCACATATAGTTTTTAAAAAATAACAACACATACAAACGGCACGAAGCACCCGTGCGACTACGAAATCACGCTCTCGTGTTAGCAGCTCTTCCACGTTATATCCTCGAAGACGAGTTTCAATCTTTTCTTAGGAAAGGGTGTTTTCTGACTTTGCAGGGACTTGGCAGTGTGAGCAATCCTTTAATACAAAACTCTGAAGCTTAATATTTCGAGTAAAATAAACTAACCAAACCAAAATTGACATTCGGCTTTCCCGCCATACAACTTCTCCTAAAGCGCAGGTGACGTCAACAATGAACCGTTCGTTTCGGTAGAATTTAGTAGTCATTACCGCAGCATGCCTGATGAGTTGTAGCGGCGCTTAGTGTGGCTTGGGAGCGTTGCGCTGCGTTACCATGGTGAGTAACACGGACAAGGCGCTTGCCAAGCTGTACTCCTTTTGGACTGGTTGCCAGAATTCACACGAAATACGGATGACCCCGTGACCCGCGGCCGTTTTTCGACACAACGCAGTCAAACGCATTCAAACGCAACATGTACCTATCTTTTTGTCGATATCGTTGTTTGCCAATTGCTTTCCGGGCGGCGTTATCGCATTACGAAGAACAATACGAATTGCGTGTTTCTGTTACGTACCGAATGCATTTTGCTAACTGTAAGACATATGACGGTCCTCCTGGAGGAGGCTCAGCGTAAAAGCGACGTTGTCTTGGGCTCGCGGAGTGGTGTTTACCGATGCCCTCGTTCCCCGCATATTCGCGCGCAACACTCCAGTAAACCACAGGCGCAGAGAAGTCTCAGCGCTGGATGAAACGTTAGGTGCATGTGCAAGAAAGATTGCGGTGTGCTAGACGACGGTCTGACAGAAGTTTTTTTGGCATGGACCCGGAGGAGTATACCGCAAACTACAGCGCGTCAGCCTGGAGTGGTCCCTGTGACTCCCTTCACGCGTGGAATCAAGAATCGCGCGACAGAACGGAACGAAACACAATGGTGCGCCATTTTTTGTATTTCTTGACTAGAAAAAAAAAAGAAAATTTTATGCTGTTGCCAAACCAAACGATTTGCCCCATTTTCGCGAGAGAAGCGCTCGAGTATTTCAGTATATGCGCATCTGCGGACTGAAAGGTTTTTGTTGTTGTTGAATTAAATAAAACGCAATGTGTTTGCAACTCACGATCGAAAACGAAGACGAGCTGACTCCGTTCACTTCGACCAATGGTCTGACGAGCCTCAACTGATGTCACAAACCACATAAATTCAAAAACTGCTAGTTTTTTGTGTTTTTTTTTTCTTTCAGTTTTTTGTTTCGGAGTGTTTATTGCTGGATCTGTTAAATTAATTTTTGCGGTGAGCAAGCATGACTTTGCGCTAAAACTTTGTCAACATTACCTGAGAAAGACACCTGACATCTATTGCATTCGTTGAACTGAACTTCCAGATCGTCTTTATGCTCCGCTTTAAAGGTAATCGTGATTTTGAGAACAATTTCCGAAATGATTAAGGCCTCAAGTATGTTCCGTTTTTTCTAGAGGGCATACGACACGAAACTTGATCTCTCGGGTGTTTGCAAGTAAAATAGATCCCTACAAGTGGCAATCATTAGACGTAGTAACTAAACCCACCGCGATAGCGGCTCGGGTATTCAAGCACGCTTGCCCCTTGGCAGAATCATAAGGAACTCCCTTATCACGTACGGGCCTGATAAAGCCTCAACTATTTCACAGATCCAGAATAGGGAATTTCGATCCTGAAAACGCCCGGTTTGCTCAAGATAAGAGTGTTCGAAGCGTGTTTCGGCTTGCATTGCGCTCCTATAAGGCTGTAAATTATCATCGTAGGTTTACGCGCTTGTCCATGCATACGACAATTCAAACTATAGCTTGCTCATTTCGAACAGCATCGGGGACAAAGCTATAAAATAACTGACTTTCTTCTAATGATCACCAATTATGTGTAAGGATTTCCGCGGGAAGTGTGGCGTGACGCCACGACAGTCATCAAGAAAAACCGTCAACCTACATGCGAATAACAAGAATTAGAAGTATTCTAATTCAAAGTAGAACTATGGACCATTGTGATAATAATTACAAGACGAAGAAGAAGAAGAAGGGAAGAAGAAGAGAATTTAAATGTTTCGCCTCCTGCTATAAAACCTGCATGCGGTTAAAGGCCGGTGGGTTGCCTCGCGATCACATCAATCATCATTAGCTCCTATGTGATATATGTCGTGGCCAGCTATCATACATTACGCCTGCCGTATTCCTTGTCCACCGTAAATTTACCGCAATCGTGGCTGTACGTTTTCTTTCTTTTTTTGTTTTCTTTCTTTCTTTCTTTTTTTTGCGAGTAGCAGAACGGACGTTCTAGATGGTTGGTTTTTACCTCCAAGGAAACAAAATAATACTGCCGTTTGGGAAATTCCTGGTGGAAACTTTCGACGCGAATAAAAGTTTGTTTTGGGTCCGACGACTCTGGAGGGAGAGTCATTCAGACCCTAGTGGAGACGTCTGGAGTCATTCAGACCATACTGGAGACGATGTCTACTTCAGAAAACACACATTTCTGCGGAAAATGTCATTCGATACTTGTCATCTAGTTTGTTGCATGTCATTCAAAGCAAGCAAAACTGAGCGAAGCCCTGACGGACAAGCCAAGATTACACACGCAGCGCTGCCTTTCAAATAAATTTATTTCCTTAAAAAACGTAAAAACAGCATAAACAAACAAAATTACGTTAACTTTTTTCGTTTGTCTTATAAATAAAATTTAATAATAATACGTGTTTGCAAAATCGCGCTAATTTGTGTTGTGTTTTTTTATAGTAACTTGTGCTTGTGCGTTGTGACACGGATAAACAAAAGTTAAACCCCTTCTGAATAAAAATAACGTTTTTTGCAACACCTTTACGTGGAAAATTGGCATTCAAATAATGTTGGTTGGCTTTATGGAGCTAAAGAAACAAAACTCTTACAGTACCAGATTACCTAAAACTCAAGTAAATAAGTTAAAAAAAAGGTAAACTTCAACGCCAGGTAATGGCCTAAATGGCCGGGATAGAAGTCACGTGATATAGGACACATGAATGATATGAATGATATAGGACACAATCAACCGTGACAGCGGGAGGTTCTTCCATTAATACGGTAGTAGGATGAAATATAATGCTGTACCGAAGCTTCAATGCGACACCTGGACGGACCAATAACCTCTGGATGGTACATTGTAGATACGTTTCGATAACAAATGAACTACCCTAAATGCACTGGGAACGGGTTAATATAAATCAGCTAACTATGTAAGTAGCACTCTAGATGAATTACCATGGGCCAATCAACAGCCGAGAATATCTAGGCAAAAGGTGCAACCCTGAACTTTTCAGTGTGTGCGACAGATCAACCGAAAACAAACACGGAGTCATGATATGGGGCTCCATACTTGGTTTCACCCCAAGTCAAGACGCAGCCGACGCTACGAGCTGATGTTGCCAATCCGACAGCGTCAAAAGCAATCCATCATGGTGTTCGTCGTGTTTCTGTACGTGCTCTAACATCACTTAACCAATCATAAACAAACAAAAAGGCCCAGTGACTTGTGCTTTTGACACAGCTTGATTGGTCCCATTACCTTGTAACGTGGGCTGCGTCTGGATTCAACCTGAGACAAAGTATAGCGTCCTCTGTTTAATTCCCACACAAGGCCCATTCGATTTCCCTGCACCAGCCTGCACCGGCGCAGAAAGGTGCAGGGCAATGTGCTCCCGGTTGCATTTTAAGATAGGCTCCACTCGTAAATCGAATACGGAGGTGTGCACCGAGTGCAGCTGGTGCAGGAGGTAGAGGCAAATAGAACGCAACAATAGTGAACACGCGTTTGCAAGTTTGGCCTCTGAGCGCAGTCCTGCTACTGGTGTGTGTAGATCCTCTACTTGTCGAGTCTGGATAGATGGTTAGATGGTACGGCTGTTACGTGGTATTGGTTGTATACCCCTTGTATCCGGAGGTAGCTTGCGCCACCTATAGCCTAAAAAAATGCATCCCACTCCTTCAAATTTTGTTCTAAATTGAATTTCTAGTTGAATCGTCTACCCAACGAATCTTTGGTGTTAATACACTTCTCCAGAACTTTTTCACCGATTTTCTAACCTTATTTTTTGTGATTGCTAAGGCGTCAAAACGCCTTCCTAGGGCGTGCCCATGGCTGCCAAAATGTTGACCCACCAAAGAGGTTTTTTCGGTGGTGGCTAGACTAGCTTTTGAAGAAGCGTGGCTACTTGCAAACGTGTATACGCTGCCGTAAAATTCTTCATTCGCGATGCTGAAAACAATACGCTCAAAACATCCCCAATGATAGTGTTTAGGAAACATTTTATTTCAGAAGCCAATAGTCGAGCAGTGAGCAATAGTTTGTGGTAATCGAGGGAGCTGTAGTCAGGGTGATCAGAGCTGGGGTTCTTGTAGCTTTGGAGGTGAAGGACGGAAAGAATCAGAGTACAGATGGTTGTGGTGTGGCTCCCGCAGTGCTGTGCTCTCGGGACGGGGTGATAATTCAGAACGCTGTTGAAAGAAGAATAAGGAATGTTAGTATGCGTGCCAAACTCATAACCTTCATTTATTTATATTTCTATGTAAACATCTGCTGCACGAACCACTTTAAAAAAAGATTATTACTACTACTCTGGTACATCCAGAATCCAGGAAATTAGATTTTCTTATTACCAGAAAGTTGGGACGCAAACGAGCTGGTGCTGGTTGTTATAATAATAATAATACTATTATTATTATTATTGGTGGTTGTTATAATAATAATAATATTATTATTTCTGGTTGTTATAATAATAATAATAATAATAATAATAATAATAATAATAATAATAATAATAATAATAATTCTGTGTCGTTCCGTTCCTCGTTCTCTTGAGTCTCGGAGTTTTAGTCTATCATGTTAACTTCCTGATCACATTCTTATAGTTTAAGTCGTTCCCGTCGTTCACAAAAGCAATTTACTTGAAGGTCAGACGAAAGTTTGTATATTTAATTCGGTGTCATTGCAACGTACTTCATATCTAAAATACGAAACTCAACAGTGCAACAGGATATATTCCCCAAAATCGCTTAATCCCTACTAGCAAATGAGTAACAAGACATAATCGCTGTAAACTTCTTGAAGAGTTCACACCCCCTCAGTATTTTCTTTCTTCCTCCGATTCAGTAATGAATGAAAGAAATCATTTGCCGCAAAACATCGTACGTTCAACTACCCCACAATCATTTTGGGTCGACTCAGGAGCGTACCTGCGACATCGAACAACATGTTACTTTCATGGGGTGCGTGCATAAAATCCTTCATGATTTTGTATATTGCTTATTTTATATAACTCTACAAAAATCTCGAATGGGGCTTAGTAGTATCGTAAACAAATGAATAAATAAGCCCTGGTCGATCGAGCCGAGGTATAGTGAAAAACAGTATTTTAGCACTTAACACCTGCTTATGTGCATTGCTTTACTATGTCCATGACCTTTTTTTTTTTGTATTGGATTTTTTTTTTTAATTTTGAAAGGTTAAAAAAATTATCCTTTAATCTTCCAGTTAGAAAATGAAGGTTATTACTCTCACTGACAGCTTAAGAAACCGGGCGTAGCTTTCTTCCACGCGCTCCTAGCTTCATGATTTCTTCCTCCGTATATGTATCGGCTAATTCCGCGATTTCATTGACTGTGAACCAATGATAAGATATTCGAGACATACCACGGTCTGAGTATCTTAAATTGTCAATGTCTATGCTGCTAACCATTAGAGATCCAAACGAGTTATTAGCAATCGAGATTCTCCTTTACTAGATGCCACTCAATCCAAGACAGCCGCTTTGTATCAAATACCTCGGGTTGCATATGTGTTTCTTTTTTTAATTTATATCTAATTGAAATCTTATAAAGCCAAAAGGATTACTAAATGTTTTTTCCTAGGATAAATATCTCGTTTCCACGTTTGACGTCTGAGGACACTTACCCATCCCAAGGGCAGCGGGAGTTCCACGCCCTCTAGCGCCCGTAGTAGTAGTACGGGTAATAGGAGTGGTAGTATCCCAACGGCGACGCGTAGTGGCCGTAGTAATGCAGGGCGTCGCCGACGTAGTACTGCGGCGCCGCCACAGTGTAAGCCACGGCGAACATGGCGAGAACGGCCAGAAGTACCTGGACATTGGGCCAATAGGTCTCTTCAATGCTGAACGCACCAAGACAGCTTTACCGCAGGCCGTAACGAGTTATTACTTCAAATATACTACGCCACAAGCTCCAGGCCGCCTCAGTGGCTCCGAGGAAAAGCGCCAGCCCACGAATCCTCAGGTGGTGGGTTCGAATCCTAACGGAGGTATTCGCATTCTGACCGAGGCCTATTGTGAACGAGATTTTGGTTGCGTGTCAAAATATTCCACACAGTCATTTTCCAAGGTGGTCGAAAGTAATCCTCGGTCGTTCGCTGGTGTCTGCTTGCCAGATTGCCCTTTGTTGGTTTTGCACCTAAAAATCCATCCCCCCACTCAATTTGAATTTGACCATAAGCTTTTGAAAGCGATTTCTGAAATCAGTTGCAGGCATTCTTTACTTCATTAGGTTGCATAAGTTTAATGTAGCGTACATATTCTGCCTGCTCAAGGCGAAATATATGGTATACTCTAGTGACGTTTTGTTTTTGCTTTTAAAATATAATTGTTGCCTAAAATGAGATGATAGGCTTAGAGAATATTCTACCAAGTGACTGTTCTGGCTAAGTTTAATTTTGCGTTTAATCTAATATGCAACGAATGCAGTTTTTGTAATAAACTTAAAGCATGTTTTGCAACGCCCGCTTTAGAAGATATATCGTTGATTTTGGCGCCAAGAACATTAAGGTTATTGTACAGTAATAACTCTGCGTATAGGTGCTCAACTACAAATATAATATTTCCGAGATAGCAGAAGGCAAATAATAGGCATTATACATTTGAAGAAAAAAATGCGAAAGCGTATTGTGAGATCAAAGTAAACTTACCAGGACCTTCATGTTGCTTCTGCGGAGCACACGGTTCTCAAACCTTGACTAGTGTTGGAAGGGAATGTGTCTTCCGTTCTCCGCTACGCGCCTTTTATAGGAATCCGTCAAGGCAGCGAGCAGCTTGATGGAAACTTGGAATGTTGCGTAACAAGAGCGTACGTGCAACCGATTCACAAGTTCCAGGGTTGCCTTCGATCGAAGGAAGTAAAATAAAAACATCGATACAAGCGAGGAGCGTGCATAGAGGTCGAGGTTAGCATGTTCAACCATGTGAGACACATGCTTCGCGGTACGTGGCGCCACTGACAAAAATACTTAAGAACCCGGAAAAGGCTAATTCGAGATGAAGAAAGTACACATGGCGACGAAGGTGTCGCGAGATTAATTTGCATGTCTCATGCGGAGGATTCCCCCGAAAAAAATCGTGTATGCATGCATCGCGCAGCCCCCGTTACCAACTCTGTCAAGGGCTTTCCTGCCCTTTACTCTTTCAAAGCGGGTCGAATGGTTAGAAAGGCAAAACGGCTTTCCTTGGTTTAGGAAAGTGCGGTTTAACAAGGCTAATGTGGTTGTTCATCTAAGGTACCCGCGTTAAAATGGGTACAAGGGCGCATAACGTGTGGTCGCGGGCATGGCGACTAGAAGATAATGGAATAGAGTGGAGTGTGGGCGGCAATACACGACAAGCAATTATGTTAATAAACATGTAGAAAAAAAGTTAGTGCATTTACGCAAGAATCGCATGACCAATGAACCTAAATACATATGCATTTGCATCAAAATATCTTTATAAGTTTCAAAAATAAAAGTGGTAAATCGGCGTAGTTACCACGGTTGTCGCTATAGTTGTGTGTATTAAACATTTTTATCTTCCCCAAGACAGGGATAGTTCTAAAAAAACTCAGTTTAATGTCATTTTTGCAATGCCACAATGAACGAGTAAAGGAATTGTCCTTAGCGTCAAAATATATATACCCGTAGCAAGAAAGAGATTATGTTTTCGAGCTAAGGGCAACACGCTGCTAAACTTATGTCTTGAAAACCTTCTTTTTTTTTTTCTCCTAAAACAGTACACGCTTGAAACAGTGCCAATTTAAGTGGGTAGTGTTGTGTTAAACAATATGTATTGAGTTCTTAACGTTTCTAGAATATCTTTTTAATTATATCTAACATCAGCTGTCTGTTAACCTCTCCCCATCTTTTACAGCGTTGGAGGTACTAGAATGAAGAAATAAATAAGTAGTAAAGAATATTATCACAGACGCACCCTGTGTTTCAGTTTTCGATTACGATACGTATTATGTGCACACCACTAGCTAGAAGCAGCGTATTTCGTTTTTATTGCTAGCATGCCAAAGCCAAAACTTAAAAACAAAGTTTTGTCTCTCCTGGTTCTAGCTTTTTGATAAAAAAAACAAAAAAAAAACAGAACGTAGAACAATTTGTATTTACAAATTGCGGGAAATTTACAACACGCGTCGTTGTAGCTCCTTTGGTAGTCAAGGGGTGCACTCTGAAAAATCTGGAGCGGGTACTTTCCCGTAAAGCACTTGCTTTGTCGTCTTTCATGACAGCGAATGCACTAATCACTGCAGTCGGAGGGTTTGTTTGCCACACAGCGTTAGTTCCCGAGGTGGCCGCAAGAAGGGCGCCACCCCTCGATCCCCTTTCCTCGAGAGTCACTGAATACCCAAGAAACGCAGGGTGTGGCTTATTTTGTTCACGCTTCTTGCTTTGTGACTAAGTTCTTCGGCGTTCTTATCGGCTAATGCTGCAATCTGATTGAACGCGGAGCGATAATGACATGCTCGGGGCTCACTACACCCCCCCCCCCCCCCCCGGTTCCTAAACCGACAGGAACTGTATATGTTGCATGTCCAATGTTCAAGGGTGCCTTCATGTGCGCCCTAGAATGCTTTAGCGCACGTGAAGGCTCCCTACAACGTTCTAATGCGTCGTAGTGGAACGCAGTGAGATGTGAAGCAGTCGGTCTTACTCGTAGACACGGGTCTGAGCCAGTTTTAAGCTGCGCTAAAAGAAACTACCAGCTTTCAGTTCGCCTCTAACATCCTTAGGTGCAACGTCGTGTGGAGAAAATACAGGGTGTTTCGGCGAATACTGAATTTAAAAAAAAAAATCTCTATGAATAGGGAGAAGAGGAAAAAAACTATTTTCGGGAAACAACTGCCGGCCACGGCAGATGTCGGGGATTGCAGAAAAACCATTAATGGCGAAATAATTACTTACAGTTTGCTAATGCTCTTTTTTATTTAGTTAAAATAAACACATAGTTTCAATAGGGTGCCTTCAGGTTTCAATAAGAAACTTGCTGAGTGTCATCGAAAACGCGGAAGATTTTCTAATCATTCGCGTTCTCGTATTTAAGTTAAACGAAGTTGCACTTGGATCCACCCATATTTAATGCTTTTATTGTATTTACCATTTGACTAACGAAGTCATCTTCCACACCACCGCGTGGTTCTCATGCTGTCAATTCCACTAAACATAAAATCACAACCATGGTAGGATTGTATAAAGTTGAATGTACATGTTGTGCTTACGAATCTACTGTAGTATACTTACAAGTTTATTATTAGACTTGAAAACATCCATCGAAGGAAGAAGAGGGTAGGGCTGTGACAATGACCTTGTAGACGAAATATTGTATGCCTAAATTGGTTGCCTCGATGTGCATGAAGGCACTGTAACTTAAGGCTTCCTGGTGTTTTCACAGAATAATCATATTGAACTGGGGATTGACGCTTGAAGAAGAAAAGTTTACTGTGATAGAAAATGGTAAACACTACGGTAAAATTCCGCCAGCTCGACTGTGCACCGTAATTTAATTTTTGGAAGTAATGGTAATTGCGTCAAGAATGAGGCAAGTGCTAAAAGCAGACTGGTAAGAAATGGCCGCAGTTAACTATAATGTGTTTTCAAGTCGCCTCGCTTAAAGGAATTGTCCGGTAAAATTTTGTTTTTGAGAAAAGAATTAAATTATATTGTCATTGCTTTTAGGGATATCATCCGCACATTATGCGAATTCCTAATCCTCCGCCACACAAGTAACTCGATGTTTAACAAAGCCCAACTGCCAACTGCTCAGTTTGCACCTGCAAAACACACAGCGTTTTCGTTGGCAACGGAAGCTCTGACGGAACACAAGGCAAAGAGAGACACCTCAGCTTTCTACTGCCGTCCTAGTAAAATAACTTCGTTCTAAGAAAGACAACATTTACGGTATCGAGGGAAGCTCAATTATTCGAGGATGATAACTGTGTGCACCACCAACCATGTTGATCAAAACCGAAAATAAGTCAACTCCAGCTACTCTGACCCTACCATGTCTGATCTGACGTCATGACACGACCAGCCATGCATACTTGCCAAATTTGGCACAAAGTTTCGTATTGGTGTTTATAACTGATCTTTCAAAAAAAAATATCACATATCGCTATATTATTGCGGTCCTCTCTACGTGACTAGCGCCAAACCGTAGTAACTTCCGGATATCACCGGACAAGACCTTTAAACACCTTCATGCCAATTCGGAGCTCAAGTTTGTCTGCTTGTTTTACAGGGGTTGCGATCATGTCAAAACGTCGAGCCCTTAATGAAAATATAAAAAAAAAAAATAGTGGGTAGACCCTTAAGGCGTTTAGCATTGAGGTCTACCCACTATCTTTTTCAATCAGCCAATAAGAGCTCGGCATCGTGCTGACGTCATCGCAACTCCTGCGCAAGAAGCAGAAGACTTGCTCTCCGCATACCATTCCTGCACGCTGGTTTTCGGTCACTCCCGTGCAGGGTGTAAGATAGACAGGTGGGGAAACGGCCCATAGAAGCTTACCGCAGCGCCGTGACCGGATTGTGTACTCGTCTCAACGAGGTATAGGGCATTAGAGTGATAAACTGGCAGCTGAAAGTGACCCCCAATTGACCGCCGCCATGTTGTACAATTTTGACCACTAGACACGTGACCAGGCCAAATCTATGACGTAACCAGACCAAATCTCTGGCGTCGACGATAAGATGGCAGCGCCCAGTGCGTGTCGGAAGCGTTGTGGGCGTTGATCGGAGTGTGTGGATTTCGTGTGCGGAATTCGGTTTTTCAGGGTTTTGTATGCTCCCCGCGTAGGAATAACGTGAAGTAGGAGGGAATGAGGCTTTTCTTTTTTATTTAATTCAGAGTAAGCCAGATTCGGTCCCGTGCTTCTCGTACGGGCTCGGATCACTACCTCGGACATCGCTCGGTCGTTCGAGTTTAATTAAAATATCCGCAATCGTTAACCACGGAAGCTCCTCCATAATTGCTGAGTCGAAGGATACGTCGAACCCTTCCGGAACGCGGAGTCTAAATGTATGTAGGACGTAACCAGAACGCGGAGTTCTAACGGTACGGCGGACGTGCCCGGGCAATTTTCTTAGCTCGACCGTCAAGATTCGCATTTGAAGCAGCGAGTGAAGTGTTGAAATCTCCGAACTGCTCGGTGCTGAGCTAACTACGGACCACTTCACTATGTGATCCGTAGTGACGTGAAAAAGACCGACGGCGGTCACTCCGGGGGGACGGCGGCTCCCGGCCGCCTGCCTTCTGTGAAGGGGCGACAGTCGTGTAAGCAGTACTGTACCAGCTTCTCTTATAGTTATGTTGTTCTCAAGCAGCTTCCCGATCACTAAACCCCGCAAACGCGTGCCGAAATTTCAAAAGGTGTCTGCCAACCTGGAAAGCCTTGAACTCCCAGGGAATTTCGGATCATCTGGGAAAGTCAGGGAATCATTCAAAAAGTGGGCTAAATAAGGGAAGACGACTAGTGAAAGCGGCATGGCGGTTGCTCGTCGGCACGGCCATGCTGAATGACATTGCCGAAATGTCATCGTTCGACTCAAAATCTCAAGGAATTTGATCAAAATAGTCAGGGAAAACTTGAAAAAGTCGGGGAATTTGAAATCAGTAGTTTGTTAGACACAATGTTTGATTTTCTTGGCACTCCACGCGTTTTTACACACGACAGGCACACGCCCGTGTATCATACGGCAGCCAGGCCAAGCGGCTGCCAGCCACTTATGCAAGGTCGATAAGACGCAAGCGTGGAACG